ATCATCAGCATCATCATCATAAGCATCATCATCATCAGCATCATCGTCATCATCCGCATCCCCCTCCTCATCCTCATCAGCATCGTCATCATCATCAGCATCGTCATCATCATCATCAGCAGCAGCATCATCATCAGCAGCATCATCATCGTCATCTTCATCATCGTCATCGTCAGCAGCAGCATCATCATCATCATCATCATCATCATCGTCATCAGCATCATCAGCATTAGCATCATCATCAGCATCATCATCATCAGCATCATCATCATCAGCAGCATCATCATCATCATCATCAGCAGCATCATCATCAGCATCAGCATCAGCATCAGCATCAGCATCATCATCATCATCAGCAGCAGCATCATCATCATCAGCATCATCATCATCAGCATCATCAGCATCATCAGCATCATCAGCATCATCATCATCCTCATCATCATCACCATCAGCATCATCATCATCATCATCATCTGCATCATCATCATCAGCATCATCATCATCATAAGCATCGTCATCATCATCAGCATCATCGTCATCATCCGCATTCTCCTCCTCATCCTCATCAGCATCGTCATCATCATCATCATCAGCAGCATCATCATCAGCAGCATCATCATCGTCATCTTCATCATCATCGTCATCGTCATCGTCATCATCAGCATCATCATCATCAGCATCATCATCAACAGCAGCAGCATCATCTTCACCATCACCATCATCATCATCAGCAGCATCAGCAGCATCAGCATCAGCATCATCAGCAGCATCAGCATTGTCATCGTCAGCACCATATCATCATCATCAGCAGCAGCATCATCAGCAGCAGCATCAGTATCATCATCATCACCATCATCATCATCAGCATCATCATCAGCATCATCATCAGCATCATCATCATCATCATCATCATCATCATCATCATCATCATCATCATCATCATCGGTTTCCTCCTCCTCTTCCTCCCCCCCTCCCCCCCATGATCCCCTTTTGCGGCGACGTGCCGCCGAGCGAAGTGAACCCCACCCTACCCCTCAGAAATCGTGGGGGCTAGGGGCAGGGTTCGCATGTGGCCCCCTACGGCTGCGAGCAGCTCCCCGAAGTGGTCCTCTGACCCTGCCGAGTACCCTTTCCGATCCTCCCGACCCGTCCGCCACGCAGCAGGAGTGTTCAAGTAATGCAATGAGTGTGGGCGTCCAAGACGCCCGCGCGCCCGATCCCGCCGATTCTCGTCGGAAAAAACACACCAAGATGAGTAGAAAATCTCAAGGCAACACAGCAGAAGTCAGAGCGTTCGTTGTCTCATCAGCGCACGGGCACTCGGTTGAGAAACTACCGGTGTCGCGGCCACCGCCGCGCGGCCAGCGCGCGGGGAGGAGCCAGCGCCCGCCGCCGCGGCCGGCGCCGGGAGCGCGCCGGCGGCCTCGCGCTGCAGGCGCCGCAGGCAGAGCACGAAGCCGACGTCCCCAGACCTCCGACGGCGTGGTGTGCTCGAGGCGATGGTGCTCTGAGCGCGCGTGGGCGCTGGGTCGGGCGTGTCCTCCTACAGGGGAGATGTGGGGCGAAGAATCAGGAGTGCTGGGAAAATAGTCCAAACTACCAAACAAAAATCAAACAACAACAACAACAACAACAACCAACCAACCAACCAACCAACCAACCAACCAACCAACCAACCAACCAACCAACCAACCAACCAACCAACCAACCACAACAACAACCACAACAACAACAACAACAACAGCGACAACAGCGACAACGACAACGACAACAACAACAACAACAACAACAACAACAACAACAACAACAACAACAACAACAACAACAACAACAACAACAACTACGGCAACGGCAACGGCAACGACAACGACAACGACAACGACAACACCAACAACTGCAACAACAGCAACAACAACAACTGCAACAACAAGTCGTCCCCATACTATATTTGGATTATGTTTGAATACTCCCCGTTAGCGCCACCTCGTGCTGTCGGAGGTTGCTGCAGGAGCCCCTGGCCCAAGGAGCCCACAGATTTCCCGGTCCCTTTTGGAGGAGGCCCTGGGGCCCTCGAGGCCTCGTCAGGGGTGCGCTGGAGGCCGTGGGGGCCTCCGTGGAAATCCCGAGGGCACCTCGGGCCAGGAGCACTTCTGGCAACACCCGACAATCGGCGACCCTCGAAACGTGCGAGAGCGCCAACGCGCGCTGCAACGACGGCAGGCACAGGCCGAACGGGGTATGCACACACTACGCCAGCACACGTCCTGAGGATCATCGTTCAACCTGGGCGTTTCTCCTCGAGTTCGGCCTCCAGGGATCGTTATGGGGCACCGAGGCCATCAGAAGCCACCCCCTGGCGTCGTGGAGCAATCACGACGAGAGGTATTTTGCAAATTGTCGACCTGTGGAGGCGTTTGTCTGACCTCGGGACCAGCACGAAACCCACGTCCCCTGAACCCCTCGCGGCGTGGAATAGTCACGACAGGAGGTTCCTGTCGAGAGCCAGGCGTGTTTGCCCACTCTCGGGCCCTGGGACCCTCACAGATTGATCCAGCTTGAAAAATGACGCAGAAAGACGGGGCCCAGGGTTCCGGTCGTGGTTTTTCACACCGCCGAGACAAGGACAGAAGAACATCCTTCAAAAGCATGAAACCCTCCGCCGGCCCAAGCACCCCAAACCACCGAGGGCATCCTTCCCCAGGATGCACAAGACCATACGACAAAAACGAAGAACATTGGGGCACACACGGCTCATTATTCCAAGGTTCATGATTTCAGCGTTGGTGTTTCTGTTCTGCGTTTTCTCTGCGCACATGCCGCGCGCCTGTGCGCCTCTGCGCGGGGTAGCGTCGAACTCACCGCCTCCCCACAAATGCATCCCGCTGATCCATGCCCACAAGTCGCTGGTCAGGAAAAGCCCTGCCATGCCCGCACATGGCCGCGCACGCCATACTTCCGCAGAAACATAAGTTGCAGGAGCGCCCTCCCAAGCATCCTGGACAACGCCTCCAAGATAAATACCATGGGCGAGAGAACACGTCTACGGCGGGACAATGGGGGCCCGCGGGCGCCGCGCGAAAACACGCTTCCACATGCAAAAAGCACACGCCTTGCACAGGCCGCCACAAAATCTGCACAGCTCGCGGCGCCTGGTCGTGTATTCTTGACTGGAGGACAGGGGGCAGAAGACTGGGAGGAACGAAAAGGCTGGAAGGGACGGGGGCCCCGGGGAGAAAAAGGCAGACTGGGTAGGGTAGGATCTCCGCCAGGCGGCTGACATCGCCCAGCGGGCAGGAAGCGCAACCTCCTGAAACGAGCAAGCCTCCTCCTCCGCCTCCTCCTCCTTCTCCTCCTCCGCCTCCTCCTCCACCTCCTCCACCTCCTCCACCTCCTCCTCCTCCTCCACCTCCTCCTCTTCTTATTATTCTTATTAGCATTCGTCGCATCATATCATTATTATGATTGGTGTTATTAGTAGTATTATTAATATTGTTATCAGTATTAATATTATGATAATTATTAGCATTATTAATATTATTGTCATCCGTCTTACTCTTATTCATCTTAATAGTATGATGATTACTATACGTAGTGTTGTTAATATTATTCGTATTAGTATGAATATTCGTAGTATTGCGAGTCTTAGTGGCACTCTCATGTATAGTACCGTCATTCGTATGAGTATTATTAGTAGTCTTAGTATGAGTAGTATTCGTCTTCTTAATCACAGTAGTAGTATTGTTCGTCGTATTGCATTCGATTTCTTCTTGTTCGTCTTCCTCTTCCTCCTCCTCCTCCTCCTCCTCCTCCTCCTCCTCCTCCTCCTCCTGCTCATCCTCCTCCTCCTCTTCCTCTTCCTCCTCCTCCTCCTCCTCCTCCTCCTCCTCCTCCTCCTCCTCCTCCTCCTCCTCCTCCTCTCCTCCTCCTCCTCCTCCTTGCTCCTCCCTCCTCCTCCTCCCCCTCCCCCCTCCCCCTCACCGCCCGCTCCTTCTCCCCCTCCCCCGCCCCCTTCCCCCTAGGGCCCTCCGCCCTCCCCCTCCCCCTCCCCCTCCCCCGCCCCCTCCCCCTCGCCCCTTGCCCCTCCCCCTCCACCCTCTAACCCTCGCCGCTCCTTCTCCTCCTCCTCCTACTCCCGTCCTCCTCCTCCTCCGTCCTCCTACCTCCGTCCTCTTCCTCCTCCTCGCTCCTCCTCCTCCTCCATCCTCCTCCTCCTTCTACTCCTCCTCCCCCTCCTCCCCCCCCACCCCACTCTCCTCCTCCCTCCTCCTCCTCCTCCTCCTTCTCCTCCTCCTCCTCCTCCTCCTCCTCCTCCCCTCCTCCTGCGCTCTGCCTCGACCTCCTCCTCCGCCTCCTCCGGCCTCCTCCGCCTCCTCCGCTCTCCTCCGCCCTCCTCCGATCCTCCGCCTCCTCCGCCTCCTCGCCTCCTCCTCCTCCCCTCATCATCATCATCCCTCCGCCTCCTCCTCCTCCTCCTCCTCCTGCTCCGTGAAGCCTCCTCCTCCTCCTCCTCCTCCTCCTCCTCCGTCCTCCGCCTCCTCCGCCTCCTCCGCCTCCCTCCGCCTCCTCCGCTCCTCCGCCTCTCCGCCTCCTTCCCCCCTCCTCCCCCCTCCTGCCTCCTCCTCCTTCCTCCTCCTCCTCCTCCTCCTCCTCCTCCTTCTCCTCCGCCTCCTCCTCCTCCTCCGCCTCCTCCTCCTCCTCCTCCTCAGTATCCCCTTTTGCGGCGCAGTGCAAGCATGTGCGGCGCTGAACGTGGCCGTGCACCCCCTCGCGGCCACGAGCGGCGCCATGTGCGGGCATGCGCGGTCGTCTGCTACCACGAGTGATGCCATGCGCGGGTATGTGCGGCGCCATGTGCGGGCATGCGCGGGCAGCGCCAGGGCAAGCAACTGCGGCACTGTATCGCCTGACACATCTAACTTAACGGGCGAAGAACGGTATAAAATAAACTTTGTCGCTGCCGGGGGCGCCTGTCCCAGGGCGGCTGGAAAGTTTATACCCTTACGGTGGCACCGTAGGGGTATAAACTTTCCAGCCGCCCTGGGACAGGCGCCCCCGACAGCGAAAAAGTTTATGTTATACCGTTATTCGCCCGTTAACTAACGCTGCTCATACATACAGCACAACCGTTGCGCGAGCGCGCCACGCACATGCGCGTACTGTCGTCACAGACGACGCCCAAACACGGGGCCGATGCAGAACAACGATGGAACAGCTCAGAGCACATGCCCCCGCACGTGGCCGCACGCGCGCACTTGTTTGATCCGCGGGTCGAGAGCGCACCTCCTCCGGTCGAAGCTAAGCAGGCCGCGCACAGCTTGAACTAACAAACCGCACGCGCGCACACGCCGCGCACGCACCCGCACAGCGAGCGCACGTGTCGGGCCGGAATCGCCCGCCCGTGCCCCGGAACGGCACCGAGGTCGCGAGCCCTGTGTGCCCTTCCCGAGCCGACCTCGGCCTTACACTTCGGTCCGACCGTATGTGTTCGTGTTGTGTAATTTGTGTGATGGTGTCATTTGGTCGACCGCAATGGTGGAATGTATTCGAGTCGTCGGGTCTCAGGGGTGTTGCCGGGGAGGAGCAGGGTCCGGGGAGGAGCCAGGGCCAGAAGAGGAGCCAGGACAAGAGTCCAACAGGGCCTCTCAGTGTCGGACCAAGCAACCTGCGCACAGGGGCCATCCGAAAACGACTCGAGATGAAAGGCTGGCCCTGGGGGAGGGCTCCAGACCTCGGGAGTCTGTAGGCATGCGGAGGATCGATGTCTTCAACCCTGGCGTGGTTTTCCTTCGCTTTTCTCGGCGGCGTGCCAGGGGGGGAGTAAGAGGGAGAAGGCCTTCTGAGAAGGCTCGGAAGTACCTGGGCCTTCTGAGAAGTTTTCTAAGCCTCCCCCGGAGACACCGAAGACTTCTCAAACGCGCGAGGGCTTCTGAGAAGTCCCGCCGCCTTCTCAGAAGACCGTCTCCTTCTCATGGGACGCACAGGGACATACTAATACTACATGTCCTCCTTGGAGGCGCGCGTCCGACCCGAACATATAGTATACCCATCTTGGAGTATGTCCTTTCCCGAGCGGTGTGGCCAGAAAGCGCCCGCCACGACGCATATACTATAGCAGCTCTCGGTGCGCGCGTCGCCTCTGGGGGGGCGATGCACATTTAGTTTATCGGGGATGGACAGACCTCCCTTTAGTAAAACGTGGTTTAGTGAAAACGACCTGAGGCCCAAACCTGGCGGGCGCAAGCCTGGAAAATAGCGGCCGCGGCGCCCTCTCGAAAACCGAAAACGGACAATTCACTAATCGACGTGTCACTGTTGGGGGTTCTGTCCGCCCCCGAGTTCAAGTATGTTGGGCTGACGCCGGTCTTACTCCCCCCCCCCTCGCTCGCCGCCGAGGTTCGACCCCGGCGTGTGCTGCCTGCGCTGCCCGACCTCCTGGGGCCACGGCTGGGCCCGGTGGCCGCCAGGAGCAGAGCACTGAACGCGCGCAGGAAGGCAAACCCTGGGAATGGATTCCCAGGGGTCTAGAGAAGCGATCCCAGTGGGATCGCTGTCTCTATTCACTTGGAACCGCTTTCAAGGAATTATAGAACATCGATCCCAGGTGTTGTGCCCTGGGGAGGGTGGGCCGGGACCCACGGAAGGCCGCGGGTGGACAAGCAAGAATGTCTGAAGGGGCCCTGGGACACACAGATAAATAAACACAAAAAACGGAATTTCCCATATTTTCCCATATATATATATAGAGATAGATAGATCGATTCTGGGTCTTTGTCTTCCCCCCCACTGCCCATCATCATTTTCCCATGTTTTCTCGGGGGTCGACGATTCATTGTGTCTGTGTGCTTTTTCCCCTCCTGAACGTCGTCGGACGTCTGGGCTCGGGGGACGTCACCTTCGGCAACACGCAACGAGTGTGACCCTGGGCACGAGTGACACTTGGTGCCGCGACCTTCGGGGCGCCGCGAGGGGGCCCAGTCCGAAGGCCGCAAGACGCTGCTGCCGCATCGCGCTCGACGATCGGAGGGCCCCAGTGGGCCCGCACCGTATGGCACTCTGGCGAGGGGTCACCCTTGCGCGTAGCCGACAACTGACCACCTCACCGATCGTGGCCAGGTCCGCTCCTGGGCGTAGGTCGGGCACGTCCTCCTACGGGCGAATCTTGGACGAAACATGGATAAAAACAAATGCAAGACTAACTCAAACATAACCAACACTAGTCCAAACACCGTCCCCACATCATCTTGTTGACTACTTTTTGAGCTCTCCTCCTGTGGGGACGTGCCCGACTGGATCCCGGGCCCAAAATCCGTGCCGAGCGCCTCCCCGGCAGAGAGAGATCCTGGCGGCCGGCCGGCCGTCGCTCCCGGCCTCCGCTCTCCCGGCCGGGCCCCCCAGGGGTGGTCCCAAGGACGGCTCGGGCTGGCGGACCAGCCCAGGCTTGGGTCGGGCACGTCCCCCTACAGGCGGACTTTGGGGCGCAAAGTGAGAGATATCAAAAAATTCTCCAAAGTGGTCTCAAAACGAAGAATCGAAAAATCGTGCCCAGACTATTTGTTGACTAATGTTTGAATATTTCTCTCTCCTGTAGAGGGACACGCCCGACGTAAGCCCAGGCAGATCGACGTCGAGGCCCCCTGCTGCGGGGGCACGTCACGAAGGAGCTGCAACGGAATCAGGGGAGAGTGCGAGGCGGGGATTCGCCCACAGAGGAACTGCACAACCTGGCGGCGAGCGAGGGGGGGAAGTGAGGAGAAGGCCTTCTCGGAAAGCGGCGGGACTCCTCAGAAGCCCTCGCGCCCTCGCGCCTTCTGAGCAGTGCTTCCTTGTCTTCGGGGGGGGTCAGAAAACGTCTCCGAAGGCCCGGGGGCTTCCGAGCCTTCTGAGAAGGCCCGCCCCTTCTCCCGTCGCCCCCCGCTCGCCGCCGAATGACAGAAACCTTCGACGGTCCGCGACACCCCCCCCCCGGGCGCGGAGTGTGCCACGGGTGGCGCCAGGGGCGGCGCCAGGGGCAGCGCCAGGGGGCTCTCGAGCGCTGATCTACGAAATCCGCGGGGACCGTCGATGGCTTCTGGTTGTGCCGTCTGCTCTTCTTGATGGGCCTGTCTTCCAACACCACCACCATAAGTTGGAGGGGGGAAGGAGGAGGAGGAGGAGGAGGAAGAGGAGGAGGAGGAGGAAGAGGAGGAGGAGGAGGAGGAGGAGAGGAAGGAGGAGGAGAGGAGGAGGGGAGGAGGAGGGGGGGAGGAGAGAGGAGGAGGAGGAGGAGGAGGAGGAGGAGAAGGAAGAGGAGGAGGAGGAAGGAGGAGGAAGGAGGAGGAGGAGGAGGAGGAGGAGGAGGAGCCCCTCCCCCTCCAACTTATGGTGGTGGCGGTGGAAGACAAGCCCCTCGTCTTCTTCGAACTCATGATGGTCACCGCCTGGGGGATCGGTCTTCGGGAGCCTCGGCACGCGGTGGACGTGGGCGCGTGCGGCCACCGCCCAGGGCGCGAGCACCCGCTGGGAAGGGCCTCTGAAGAGCGGCACCCCGGGCGGTGGCTCTGGGCACGCCCACGCCTCGGAGGAAGAGGGCATGCAGACCGAGCCCGGTCCGAGTGCCGCCAAAGTCGGAGGCGACGACAGATGGGGGCGGAATAGCCCAGGGGCGGGCATTACGCGTATCACTCCGGGAGCCTGGCCGAAGACATGGGCCATCGGCACCTCTGGACACCCCTGTCGTCTTCCCCCTCCTCCTCCCCCTCCCACTCCTCCTCCTCCTCCCATTCCTCCTCCTCCCCCCTCCTCCTCCTCCTCCTCCTCCTCCTCCTCCTCCTCCTCCTCCTCCTCCTCCTCCTCCTCCTCCTCCTCCTCCTCCTCCTCCTCCTCCTCCTCCTCCTCCTCCTCCTCCTCCTCCTCCTCCTCCTCCTCCTCCTCCTCCTCCCCTCCCCCTCCTCCTCCTCCTCCCCTCCTCCTCCTCCTCCTCCTCCTCCTCCTCCTCCTCCTCCTCCTCCTCCTCCTCCTCCTCCTCCTCCTCCTCCTCCTCCTCCTCCTCCTCCTCCTCCTCCTCCTGTGCGTATTGCCCCCCCTGGGCTAGTTGCCTCTGTCGCTGCCTCTAGCAAAGGTGGCCCTGGCCCAAGGCGACCCTGTCCAGGCAGGCCCAGGTAGCCTCCAGGGCGACCCCCACGGGGCCAGAGAAGAGGAGGGGGAGGATAGGGAGGAGGAGGAGGAGGAGGAGGAGGAGGAGGAGGAGGAGGAGGAGGAGGAGGGAGGGGAGGAGGAGGAGGAGGAGGGAGGAGGAGGAGGGAGGAGGGAGGAGGAGGAGAGGAGGAGGGAGGAGGAGGAGGAGGAGGAGAGGATGAGGAGGAGGAGGATGAGGGGGGAGGAGGAGGAGGAGAGGAGGAGGAGGAGGAGGAGGGAGGGGAGGAGGAGGAGGAGGAGGAAAAGGAGGAGAAGGAGGAGGAGGAGGAGGAGGAGGAGGAGGTAGAGGGGGGCCCCAGAGGCTCCAGAATGGCGCGGAAACCCTTTGTGGCGCCTTGGGCCAAGATCGCTCCTTGGGACCTCCGACCTGGGTCTCCACGGGCCTCTCATGGGGGGCGGTCTGCCCAAGATTTTTGGAGGCGAACCCAGCCACGGCGACGACGAAACTTGCTCCTCCCCTGAGTTCCTCCTCCTCCCTCCTCCTCCTCCTCCTCCTCCTCCTCCTCCTCCTCCTCCTCCTCCTGCCAGCAGGGACACTTAAGGGCCCCGTTCGGGCGAGCTAGGGATAAACTCCCGCCTCGACCCTGGGCGCAGGATGGTGGAGGCAGGAAAAACTACATAAAACTAAACTGTCGGAGCTCCGCGCGGACTTCTTAGATTCCCTAGCGCGTGAAGCGGGCCGGGGGCAGCACCGGAGGGCCGCCTGAAGGGCCCAGCGCAGAGCCAAGAAATGCGAGCGGAGCTCCGAACATTCATGGTTTTTGTTATGCAATTCTCCTGAAGCCTCCCACAAACGGGTCCGAGCAGATGGGGTCGGAGGATCGCGCTGCATCGCCGCTGCATCGCCGATGCATCGGCGCTGCATCGGCGACGTTGGCGATGCAACACCAGAATAAGGGGTTGCCTCCACCGAGGCAAGATGGTCCTAGATTTGGGTCTTGGTGGTAATCGTTCGGTCGCCCGGGAAGCCCGAGTACGACCATCATCACCGAGATCAGGATCATCGTCCATCGGTGGACGCACACCGCCGATACTGGTCCTGGTGTCAACCTTTAGGTTTCCAAGAGCGATCCTTCGACCCCATCTACTCTAACACCACTTGGGAAGCCCAACTTGAGAGGCCAAGATCGGCGCGGGTGGCCACCTGGACGACCCCCGAGACTGTTGGGGGCGGCCTGGGGGCGGCTGCTCCGCACGAGGTCCAGACCTCGGAAAGGGGGGGGGCGGGGGGCGGCGCGATGGGCCAATGACTTTTCCTCCTCCTCCTCCTCCTCCTCCTCCTCCTCCTCCTCCTCCTCCTCCTCCTCCTCCTCCTCCTCCTCCTCCTCCTCCTCCTCCTCCTCCTCCTCCTCCTCCTCCTCCCCCGTATCCCTTTTCCACATCCTCCTCCTCCTCCTCCTCCTCCTCCTCCTCCTCCTCCTCCTCCTCCTCCTGATGTTCCTCTCCTCCTCTTCCTCCTCCTCCACCACCACCAACTCCTCCTGTTCCTCCTCCTCCTCCTCCTCCTCCTCCTCCTCCTCCTCCTTCTCCTCTTCCTCCTCCTCCTCCTCCTCCTCCTCCTCCTCCTCCTCCCCCTCCTCCTCCTCCTCCTTTTCCTCTTGCGTCTCCTCCTCCTGACTCCTCGGTCGGTCGGTCGGTCGGTCGGCCGGCGACTAAGAGAATGAGTCTGAATCCCAATCGGCGTGCGAGACGAGAACGGCAGCAGAGACAACGCGGCGAAACAGCGATCGCTGGAGCGGGCAGGTCCCGTTCAGGTCAAACACGTCGTGTCCCCCACCCCCGTTCCTTTGAAAACCCAATCATGCGCCGGAGTCGGTGGCGGGCGTGGTCACGTGGAGCACGCCATCGTCACGCAGGAGAATCTCAAACACGGACACGAAGAAAAGCCACCAACACGCTCGACATATGTTGGCGGGGTTAATCATTCACTGTGGTATTGCAACCAAGACTCGATTGCGGAAAAAACATGTCCCAAAGTACTGCGAATGTTTTGGAGCCGCGCACACCCTAGCCCCCCAAAAAACCCAATCAGCGAGAGTTCTGGTGCCGCGCACACCCAGAGCGATCCGAATAAAAACAATCCAGAAGTCTTTTCCATCTAGGCACTGCGACAGTAGCCGCCGGGCACACCAGCTTCTGTTCAGGAAAAACGGATGGGCGGTACCCTCAAGAGCGTAATCTCGACACTTGTGGAAATGAAAGGAAGGGCCCAAAGGAATGAAGGAGGGAGAAACCTGATCATCAAACTCAGCCGGGGGCGCCCAGGAAAAACCGAACTGCCCGTGGATAAATACAAATACCGACTAGATGATGAAACGACAGAACTGGGACGGATAGGTCTTGGCCGCGGCAGTGTTCCATCCCCCCCCCATGTATCCCTGCTCTCCAGAACTTGAACATGGGCCCTGTGTTGGCACCTGCCGTGGTAAGATACTTCTCGCAACAACTGGCCCGTCATTGGCACATTGATACCCAAAAGCGAAGCCAAACCTTGTACGTCCTGCCCAAACATACACTGGTCGACACGAGAAAATGGCCCGCAAGAGCTCTTGCAAATCGGTCAAGTTCGGCAGGCGCCAACTATTCGGAACATTATGTCTGTGCTCCGCGGGCGCACAATGCTCCATGATTGCAAACAAATCATGCCTCAACGCTTCCACCAAGAGCTCAATTGCAGTCCGCAGCAAAGCGTTGCCGAAATCAACCTGGGTATGTTCCTTGGGTGTTAGGCATCGAAGTCCCCACGACATCTGAAGTGATCTGAGGCGGGGGCGGAGGCCCGCGGAATATCCCGGCAGTGGCTTGTGACTGGCAGCACTCGCCGTCTCACGCGGGGGACCAGCAATTACCCCCGCGACCTAACCCTCGGCCATGAGTCTCAAACAGAAGGACACGACCTCGGGTTTGGTCACGACGCCAAACTTAGGACAGTGGGCAACATCAACCGAGAAAAAGAAGAAGGGAGGAAAAAAAAAAGGAGCAGGATGTTGCAAGACCAGCCCTTTCAAACCATGCTTGGACGCCCCCCCATCGGCGCCGCCCCGAGAATAGACGCAGCAGTTAGCTGCGGGGGCGGGGAGGGGGAGGAGACCAGGCGAGAGGAGGAAGAGACGGAGGAGGAGGGGGAGGGGTCACCGGCTCTGCTACGTTGATCTCGGGCCCCAGGACTCCGGAGGCCTCCCGCAGGGCCGTGGGCCCGCCGGGAATGGGGTGAGCATGGTTGTCAGTTAGCCCACGGGGGCTGCGCGCCTTCTGCCCCCCACTGCACTCTTCACACGCACGCGCGACCTCGGCCTCCAGAGGCCGAACACCCTCGGCAACCAAACCTCGAAAACACGATTTGGCTCGGGCCAGGCGCCAGTGCAACCAACCGCCCATTCGCGCGAAAGTCCCAGCAACACACATGGCAAACCGCGCCTGCTGCAACCCTCGATGGGATCAACAACTTCGGGCGCCGCTTGCCCCCGCGCGCTCGGAGGGCTCTCTGCGCGCCAAGGGCATCGCCGCACTCGTAGCACAAGAACGCACCTTGGGCGAACGCGGTCTGACTCTGGAGCGAGCGCCCTCCATGACCTGGCCGACGCGCTTCCATCGCAGGAGTCCGCGCCGCCCCCCCCACCACCAGGCGCGCGCACCTGCTGGGGCACTTCTCGCTATGGCGCTGAGGCGGGCACGACATAGCTGAGCAAGCCCGGTCCACTCGCCGCGAACACCCCCGCCCGACGCGTTTCCAGGGTCGGTTAAGAGGGCCAACCAACCACGGCTCTCGGTTGGGGCGCGGACCCAGCTGGATTGATTAAGTAGAACACAGGGCGCGCTCTTGGACGCACGGCCGAGGAGACGCCGCCTCGACACGCGGGCTACAACTTCCCATGGGAGGCGCCGCAGGAGCGATGGACCTCGGGCGAGTTGACGAGAGGGAGCCAGGGAGCGCATCGATAAATGAACTCATGACCCGCGCGAAAACGCCTCCGAACGGCACTGGGCAAGGGTTCCCCAATAGCCACCCCGCGGAAGCACCTGCTGGAACCGAACGCATCCAAGGCAATCTCTGTCCTGAGTGCCACTGCGTCGTTGACCGGGAGAACGGCTGCCCTGGCGGCCACATAACCCGCCGCGGTCACGCTCGCCCCCCCCCCCCCCCCCCCGCATCAGAACGCACGATTCCGAAGGATTTCTGAGCTCTCGCTGCTAGGAGGGGACAGTCTGCGGGGAGCGCCGACCAATGCCTGCATGCCCTCTGTGACCCAACACACGGAAGCGAAGTGCGACGTCGGAATCAAGCGCAGCCCGCGCAGGGCGCCAAACAAGAACAACGCCCACTGGCCCCCCAGCACATCTACCACTGCAGCGGGGTCGGGGCCCGCAACAGAGGGCGCAAGGTCGCCCGCGCAGGAAAAGGACGCACTGCCCTCGTCATCTTCGAGACCAAGTGAACCGATTGATTATCTGGAACACTTCTGGCAACCCTCTCATTCCTCCGCCCCCCATCCCATCCCCAAACTCGGATCGAATGCGGGCGAAGGCCGCGCTGAAGACGCCGGCGTCCATGAACGCGCTGGATCGACTGCCCTCTCGCGGGATCACACAGCCTTCGGCCCCCTGCGCCGCCCAGGAGGCTCCCCTGTGAGCGTCTCTCAGGACCGCGAGTAGATGGAGTTGCCAACATGTCATTCCATCGGGGTCCGCTGGCGAGTCGCGCATTTACCCCCTCCATTAGAACTTGGGGAACAGGCGCTCTAGGCTCTAGGGCCTGCTGCAGCATGCTTTTTTCCCCTGGGAGGTCATGCACCAGTTGCTTCATAGCGGGGTAAGCGCCGCAGCGGGGTCGACAAAAAGCGACCAACAAGACACATTGCGGGTCTCAGCTGCGGCACTGAAGGATTCGACAAAATGCAACGCAGCGTCGCGCAAGCCCCCCCCCCCCCCGACATCCCCCCACATTGTTTAATAATCAGGGCAGCGAGTCAGGAATCTCAGGACCGCCTCCGCAAGCATCTGCGATAGACCTTGCAAAGAATGCCGATCATAGGAATGCTCCTTCGGTTGACAACTAAGGCCGGGTTTCATTCACCTCAGTAGAAGACCCCTACTCTGCCGCCCTTATACGCCGAACGCCCCCCACTGGTCACGGGCACTCTTACTGAGCATGGACTGCGCGATTTCTGCGATCTCAATCGAGGCTAGACTCAGCAGTTCAGGCATGCATCCGTCGGCCCCTGGCGCCCTTCCACTGGGCGTGCCCCGCGAGAAGCCGACGCAACTGTGCTCGGCGAGGAATTGCCCCGCGCCGCGGGGCGTCGAGTCGGACAAGATTGGCATCGCACGTGTCTAGCGACTCTGGATATCTTCATTTAGATGACTTTCCCGTTCCCCACTTGAGCAGAGTGCGTCTGCGCATCGTCCGCAACGCCCTCCTCTGCGATACGCGGACGACATTTGATCACCGTACCGAGCCTCGAATTTTCGAAGAGCCCCCTGGCGTCGTCGAATGCCGACTGCGCTGGCGTGCCCCTTTGCGAGCCCAGCGAACGTGCGAACGCCAACCATTCGACCAAAATGGGTCGACGAGAGAACTCGACAACAAACTCTGAGGCCGTCGATGAAAACCAGGCGCGGTACAGTGCAAAGTTTTCGCCCTGCAAAAGACACCAAAAAAAATGCACCGCACCAAGCGGGGCGCCATATGCGGCGGGGGCTCTCAGGAAAATCCACCTGAAACCTCCGCTGCAGAACCGACAGGGGCCGCAAGGATTTCCAATGATGCGAATTGAGGCGCATGTCCTTTCCAATTCCTCCTCAATGCTCTCGCGCACATCGGCATCTACGAAAAATGCACCAGGGGTTCTGCCATGGTGCGGTGCATAGATGTCGTCTGCGGATGCGAGAAAAGGCCGGCCGCCCGGGGTGGCGGCGAAAGGGGCGGCGGCGGGAAGTTCTGGCTCCATCCAACTCTGTCCCGGGCAGCCCGGAGACCCCGGCCCCCTGCAATCCGGCAGCCTTCTCACGAAGCAGGTCGCACCTATCTTGTTCCAAGGACTTAGAGCAACAGTCAGTTCGGCGCCTAATGCAAACTTCTGCAATGCAAGTCGCAATCAGCCAGTGCCCCCGCCAGAGCAGCGCAGCAACGCCTCCGGGGATCTGCCTTCGGGCCCACGGCAAACTCCAAAATGCCCCCATGGGGCCAGCCCCCCCGACAGTTTGCAA